TTTTTTTTTTTTTTTTTTTTTTTTTTTTTTTTTTTGACAGGAAAATGAAAGGGATTGTTGTTTTGTCTTTTCAGAAGGCTGTAATATGGGCTGCAGTCAAATATGTCAAAATATGATAGGCTTTTTATCCTGTAAACTTCAAGTATTTGTTGTCTTTGATGTAGGCGTAACGAAGCATATGTTTTATTTTGATGGCTGAGGAGTATATGTGAGGGTTTTGAATTGGAGGAAGAAGGGGTATCACTTATTAAATTGCAAATATTGTTTTTTAAAGGATGATTTTGTTCTAGATGTGTTCTCAATTTTTTTTTTGCTGTAGTTTTAGTTGAGATTCAAAGTAAAAAACGGAGACGCAGGGAACAAAACATTTATATTAACTGTTACAAGTCTTCCTGTGAATTTTTAGGCGGAATCGGTAAACATTTTTGTTACAAAAAATCCCGCAAAGAAATTAGTTGACTTATATTGTATTATGCGGATTTGTAATTTTTAATGTAATCGAGTATTTGAAAAGCCAAAAAAATTACAAGAATTACAAGTTTTCATATTATTATTGAAAAGATAAGTGGGATAGGGTTGAGTGGGAATGTAAAAAACTAAATAACTTTCGTAATTTGAATTTCAATAGCCAAAATCTATTAGAAACCAACAATGAAGTTTTATAAAAGTCAATGTGTTGCTTTTTCCTTACATCTTCAAATCGTCTAATCTTTCGAGCATTGGAAGCTTTCTATAATTTTGGTTATTTTTGCAACGTTGATTGTTGCGGGAAAAAGATGATAAGCCGCTGTGAAGTAAGAAGAATATGTAATGTAATCTCCTGACTTCGTTAGCAGTTTTCTACAAAATGAAGCATTTTAAGTTTTAAAGAGGAAAAGAAAAAAAATTTTTTTTTAAAAGTAAGCTTTGAACTTTATAAATGGTTTAAGAGGGTGATACGTTCAAAAGAATTGTAAGCGATAAGGGTTAAAAAGAATGAAACAGAGAAGCAGGAAAAAATTCGAAATCGGGTTTTTTTGGTTTGGGTTTAGTTTGTTTTCTTTTTTTTTCTTTGATGCTTACATACAGCTTTGATGTTGTAAGATGAGATATTGTTGAGATTTTGTTTTAAGAGAAAAAGGACCTGAAATATTCGTTTTAATAGCTTTTTATCCAAGGCTAGCACACCATGAATGTGTTTGAAATGAATTACTTGGTTTTTTTGTGTTGTAAATTGACTAGTGACCAAAAGATACAAAGGTTATTTCAATTTAAGGATGACAATACGTTCTCTGGACTGTTTTATCTTGTCTTTTAACAGCTATAAGCAATTTTATTGAGTGCCGTGTCTAAGTTCTCTAACGTAATAGGGTTCAAAGGTTCATTACTAGCATTGTAACAGGAGAAGCTACTGAGAGATGATAATTACAACGAGAACGAAAATTAATTAAATTTTTTGAACAGTTAATGTTTTTTCAATCATTCTATAATTTCAAATATTTTTGCACATGAATTGTCACCACTTTATTTATCGACATCTTTTTTTTTGCGAGGAGCTTAACTAGTTCTTGGCTGGAAGTATATATAAAACTAAACTGACATTTTTGCTAATCTTTTGCAGGTTAGAAGTGGAGCTGGCAGCTTCGTTTGCAATAACACTTTTTGAGGAAAATGGACAATGAAGCTTTTGTAGGATTTATGAACTGTTTTGCGAATAACATACTATTTTATAGCATTTTAGTTTCTGAAAGGTTTTTTGAAAATTTCGTTGAGGTTTATTATGCAGGTGAAAAGTGTTAACAAACAATTTAGTACCAGCGTTCTGCTAGTTGGTGACCTGTCAAAACAGCCTTTTTCTCTTTTTAAAACTCTGTAGGATGAGAGCATGAAGGATTTCCAAAGCGATATATAAGCTTGTGGATTAATACTTAGGACATTGTCTCAGCTCTGTCAATCAGCGCAGTTGTCCACTTTAATTGCCTTCTTTTGCAGCTCTCTAATCGTGTATTTATTTTCAAATAAATTTCTTTGTTATTTTGCTTTAAAATTACCATTCGTAATTCCCCGAAAAGGTTAACATACTGACCACTCTGAAATTTAGTTTTGAAAGAAATTCTTTTTGATTATTGTGTTAGCTGGGTTTTTTTTGAAGAGCATTCTGTTTTTAATTTTATTCACTTACGTTATACTCAATTATATTTTTTTGAAATTTATGCACATTTAAGAGTCTAGGAATTTGAAACAAGCGAGTGAAGTGAAAAGATGAGTTTATTTTCACCAAATTGGTTTCTTACCAAAAAAAAAGAAGTAACTGAACTCTTTATGTCCAAAGAGGTCAGATAATGTTGGAAAGCATATTGTTAAAAAGTTGTTTCCTGAGAAATTTTTGCAAAAAGTTTTAAGGATTTACGCTGTTGCATATCTCTGGCCAATTGACGCCCAAATCAGTGCTGCAACTTTGAACTTGAAAACTAGTTAAGCAAGAGGAAATTTACAGCATTGTTTTACGAAATTTTCGTCTTCTCGATATTTTCTTTGCTAGGGGGAGATGTATTTGGTTCTACGGAATATATAAAATTTGTTTTGCTTAGCAAATCCGGAGTGTACGATAGAAAGACTTTCTAATAGATGGGTTTTCCAACAGTTTCATTTTACAGTATCCGCTTACCTAGTCATTTATCTAATCACTTTCTAAAAATTTTCTTCGTTTTCTCGTTTATATTATTTGCTTTTCGGATTTGAATCGTAGAAACAACAAATGATGCTTTGTTTGTGAGCAACAGTATCTTCTTTCTGGCACCGTGACATGTTGGGAGCTTGGAAGAATTGAGTTTAAAATTTTGTACAATGTTTGTACTTGGGTAGGTTAAGCTAGTTGAATAAAAATTAAGGTCTTAGTTGGGTTAATTATGTAATAAGTTAGGAATTAATTATTGTTTTGTTATTTTTGATTTAACAATTGTTGTCTATTTTAGGCAAAGTGTCTTTTTTCAGATTTTTTTACTTGAATTATTTCATGCAAAATAGTTTAGTTAAATGGAAAAAAATTTTTTATTGCTCTGATTTTTACTCTTTACTGCTTTTTGGTGCTTCCTATTTCTGCATTATTTTCCTACTTTTTTTTTTTTTGCTGAAGGTTTTATTTTTCTTTTTGAAAATGTCAAAATTCTGATGAGAAAATTATTTTTGGCGGAACTGGATGGTAAATTTTTGTCGTTGAAAGAAGAGGAGAAAAATGCTGTTTTTGAAGTGTATAATTTGTATTTTTTTGGAAGGCCTCTGTAAAACAAGGAGTATGCTTAGAAACTTTTATCAGCTCAGTTTACGTTGCACCATATTTGATTACTTTATGCCTACTTGATTCTTGTCTTAATCTATCTCTAAGTTTAACCTATTTTTAAATTTTAGTCAGCAGCAGCTTATTTACTTTTATGTTTGCATTTGTTTGTACATTTTTTTGCATTGCCTACTTTTATCTTTGCTTATTTATTTAAGGTAACGATTTAATAGGTTAATAGCTTGGATTAGAAAACTGTTTGAGCCTGAGAATACAGTCATTTCTTAGAAGCTGCCTTATTGTAGATTTACTGTTTAATTGACATTTATAATTGATTAAAGACTTGCTAATTTCCTTCTGAGCATTTTAGCTGTTGTTATTCATGTTTTCCTGGTGAATCAGTATTAAAAAAAGATTGCACTAACTGTAGGTGATAATTTATAGGGGCTCTTTTTGGGAATATTGATAGAAAATAGTTGAATTAGCTAGATTTTTTAACGAATCAACTTGTATCATTGCTACTGGAATATCAGAATTTGATATTCTTAGATCTTCAGATTGAAAAGCGCAAATATTTGTGGAAAGGGTAATATGATGAATAAATCTTCCAGAAATTATTGGCCTGCTATTTCAAATTGTTTGATTGTAGTGGAAGTTTTTTACTGCTTATTTGCAGTTTTTTTTCATTAGCATTCTA